TGATGTTGTCGTGATGTTGTCATGATGTTGTCATGTGTAACTCCAGAGCAGGACTCCAGCTTTGGGCTGTAGCATAATGAAGTGTGACAGCCGGTAGCTGACTCTGAATGTCTGCAAACACACAGTGGATGAAGTGAGGGTTCTGGTGGATGGAGGTAAACAGCACCTACATCGTCCTCGGTTCAGTTCCGACCTTGCCTCTTTGTGTCCCGCCACTGCTAAGCTTTCTGTGCCCCCATGTCCAGTCAGCTCTCTGTTGTCAACTTGAACATGAAGCCATACATTGCAGAAGAAAGTGCATCAAATGAGGACATTGATCGACCTCACAGAGCTCCATCTGGAGACACTGAAGGCTTCACTCAGCTTGTTTTGTTGCAGCAGGAAACACTCCACGGTTTCCTCATTAACACCCAGTGTTGTGCTCATCAGCTCTATACTACACAGTGTGCAATGAATGAAGCTCTGGTGGCCGCGTACTACAGGTGAACAGATTACAGACAAAAGCCAACAACAGGCACCTTGGTAGGCAAACAGCACACACATGAGCAGCCCTGGGGGTGAATAAACACTGTCAGGGGTCGCTTCAGTCCTGCCCTGAGCGCTCTCATAACTCATCTGGCTACAGATCGGTGAGCGATGCTGCTGTGTTTGGATATCACAGCACAAGTCACACACAGTGAATGATTCAGACGGCGGTGTACAGCTACAACCTCCAGGCAGCAGCAGACAGAAAGAGAAGCATCAGAGATACTGCAAAAGTTTGTAAAAAGCATTCAGATTTAGGACTTTTAAGGAAGGATTTACTTCAAATTCCTGCTAATTTCAAGACAAAACCTCAAAGCCCGTAGATCATGACAGCTACCGGCATGTTGCACCACCTTGACTCACCTCACCTCTGCTACCTGAGCTTCCTTTGTTCGTCTACCGCCTTCGTCACACATCGATTCCAGAGAGCCACCCACATACGGATCAGATAAACCTGAAGACGGCTACCTCTCAGGCTGAAATCCTTCTGAGGAATTAACGTTGAAAGTCGAAAGCTTTAACGCTGTAGATCCGCTGCCTCGCTGAGGAACGAGCAGTGTGTGTGTGTGTGTGTGTGTGTGTGTGTGTGTGTGTGTGATGTGCGCTGGGGGAGTCACTCAGGGTTAGCTAGACATTGTGGGCCGGCCAGAAGACGTGTTGAGAACTGTTGTGGAAAGGGTGGCGGTCAGATTGCCTGAGCCGCAGGTCTGGGCACGTCCCCGTTACCATCAAACACACACATATCTACACACTCACACTCCACCTGGACACAGGAGAGGGAGGCTGTGTGTGTGTGTGTGTGTGTGTGTGTGTGTGTGTGTGCGACTACCGCTGGAATGTGAAGCGGTAACTCCAATGCCAACATACCAGGGGAAGTATTTCACCGATTCAATCCTTTCTAGCACAAGAATTTCAAAACAGATCAATGGACGGTTCAGTCCAACACATCCGTAGTTTGCACTGTGAAATGTAACCTGGTGTTTTATCTTAGAAATGAGTGAAAAGGCAAGAAAACAAAACCAATGCTCCCCTGTTATCTTGATTAGACAGAAGTGCACCAGCTGGTCGTAGTCTGGTTGATTCAGATCCGTTGAACCGTTGTTGTGTGAATCTCCGTCTATGATTAGAATTAGTTGATTTGTTGAATAATGCTGCGAGTTTTTGGACGTATTGTGTAAATCTGTCAGAGCACAAAGACATCATGTGAAGCTTAAACCAGTGACTGTTGATTCTGAGTGTCCTAGAGACTAACCTTGATCACAGTGAACATGTTTTCATTATTATGAGAAAAAACAACTAGAACTCATCTTCACATTACTATATATATATATATATACACACTACTATCATGTCTGTTTTCTACAAATACAGGATATCAGGAGAGTTTTAGAAGCTGGTTCATAGTTGTTAAGAACCATCCATCCATCATCTCTACACCTTCATCCTCACCAGGGTCATGGGGGGCGGAGCCTATCCCAGCTGACTCAGGTTGAAGGCAGGTTCACCTGGACAGGTAACCAGTCTATCACAGGGCTACACTTAGAGACAGACAACCAGGCACACTCACATTCACACCTACGGACAATTTACAATCACCAATTAACCTCAGCATGTTTCTGGACTGTGGGAGGAAGCCGGAGAACCCGGAGAGAACCCACGCTGCACGGGGAGAACATGGAGACTCCACGCAGGAAGATCCCGGGTGTCCTCACCGGGACGCCAACCGGCGACCTTCTAGCTGTGAGGCCACGGTGCTAACCACTGATCCACCTGCAGCCCAGTTCAGAACTAGTTCTTACAATATTCAGTTTATTATTGTGCTCAGCGGCCGCAGCAGACGGCCGTCAGAAAGACGGGATGCGGTTCAAAAACAGGGATGTTGTTCTCCTGAAAAGAGCCACAAATGGTTTAATCTGAGCTAAAGAAGAGAGCGAGTGCTAGTCAGAGGAGTGTGATGCAGATCACAGTGTGAAGTCAGTGGACTGTTGGAGCACTGGTTTCACAAAGCTACAGGTGGTCCAGCTATGTTCTCACAGACTGGATATCTGAGTCAGAAGACCTCAGTTCAGAGGGACTCACATGTATAGACTATAAAAGGCTCTGAAAACAGAACCAAGCTCTTTATTCAGTGGCAGAGAACGGTCAGCGTTCACAGGATGTGCAGGTGGCCTGTCTCAGTGAAGACCCTGGAGTTAAACTGGTCCACAGAGACGGTGAAACATCAAAATGAACACGTCTTAAGTTTAAATTAATGGCATCAAAGCTTCTGATGTTATTAGACAGGAGCCAGCGGACCACCAGAGCAACAGAGACAAGCTGAACAAGAGGCGTAACCGAAGGCAGTGAGGGAGGAAACCAGCCAGGATGTGACTGGATGTGACTCATCTCTGAATGTAGGAGGAGGTTCAGCTGACAAACCCAAAACACAGAAACCTGGGCCTATAAAGGCCACATAACACTGCTAGACAAGCATCAGTCTGTCCACCTGTACTGGTGCTGACATGTACATGTGGAGACGGTTCCAGCTCACGCCTCGCTGCTCTGTTTGTCCAGGTTTGTACGGACCACATCCCTCCATCAGAACCCATCTCTGACTGGTTGTTTCCCTGCTGGGTGTCAGAACCGTGCTTCTGCAGACGTTGGCGCCGCTTCAGAGCCTGTGTGCTGTTCATAGTGATGGGTTCTGACAACAGTCAGAATTTATGACGGCCTACAGGAGCGTGGTAGACAATCAGCCAGGAGGCGGCCATGTTGAAGCGTTTCAGTCAGTTCTTCTGATCATGTGATTGATCAGCTGCTGCTGTTGTCACATTAAATCAATCCAGTGTGAACGTGTCCTCAGAGCGTTCCTGGTCAGTCAGTTCTTCTTTATTTGGTCTTTTGTTGTTGTTTATTCATAGAAAATCCAACAAAGCTGCAACAATCAGAACCAGTACCATCAGTACCATCAGTCCAATACTAGCAGTTCAAATAAAAAAATCAAAACCTGAGGCCTACAGAAGGAATCTAACCCCGACGTAAACTCATGCTATAAGGGTTAGTGTTGTTCTCTGACTTATCTGGACAGGATCAGGACTTTCCAGGAGATTCACTGTTCTGGCTGCAAACACAAAAACTGATAAATACGTGTTACTATGACAACAACAACATGTCTGTAGCAATAAAGTGTTCCCAGTAAACATGTTTGTGTGTGTGTGTGTGTGTTGACATGTGGAGGACACACCTTTACCTTACCTGTTTTTAATAGTCTCTTAACTGTTTTTAATGTAATTAATTAGTTAATATGTTTTTGGATGCTGCTGTTTACGATGGTTTCCCAGGTCTGGGATAAATAAAGTCTGTTCTATTCTATGAATGATTGAGTTGATGCTCTGTGGACTGATTCTATCTTCTCATACTTCTGTGTGAAGCCCTTTGACTGACCTCGGCTATGAACTCTACAGATGAAGCTGCCTCGCCTTAAACACATCCACCAGAGCCACGTTTAGTCCGGTTTGAGTCCTGTTGACCTTTTTCTATTTATGCAGTGTTTTTTTAAGATGTCTGTTTTTCGGTGGGAGATAAAGAAGTCAGACAGACGTCAGATGGCATTAATGTTTCACTGAGCTGTTACAGGACATTTGTTGACAACAAAACCATCGTGTGAGTCAGGGGCTCTTTCAAACACAACACTGCTGGAACAATGACGTCTCCGTTCCTGGGCCAGGTTTCAAACGACATCCCTCTCTGTTGGCTGTTCAGATGCTCTGCTCATAGCTAATGTCCTGCATGTCAGAGGCGTGGCTGCTAATAGTGAAGGCAAAGGCAGTCAAACGTCCTGTAGAGCTAAGTGGAGATATTGATTAGTGCTGCTTTAAGAGGTGCATCCAAGCGCTCATTATGGGATGCTAGTTCCAACAGTGCTCAGATCACGTTGGTCGTATTGATGTTTCAGTTCTCTCTGATCTCTGTTGAACTTATGAGGAAGTCTGAAGTATGTAAGTCCAACCAACCAAAGCTTCCCATGTTCCTGTAGTGGAAGATGCTGTCCTACATTCCCAGACCGGACCCAGCATCCAGCTGGTCCAACACACCTGTACAGCTCTATGTGGTTTGCCCCGATACCCCCACTAACACCACATGTTTAGCAAGGCTTTTAGCGGGGCTATTATGAGCAGTAATGACTGTCAAAAGGAACAAAGAGCTCCTGAAGGCAGTAACATTAAACTGTAGGTCGACACCCTTTTTGTTGCTCAGTACGGTGAGTTAGAGGCAAGCTGCAGCACGGTCATGCACTTAGCGTCCGTTTCACAACGCCAGCCCCGACTACAGTGACTAAGAGGAAGAAAGACGGCGTCTACATTGCGCAGTGCGGCTGAAGTACAGCCATGCGTGTACTGTACAGCCTGCACACAAAAACACCGTAACACCAGTCCGATGGCGGCGGCCGTGAGTCGGAGCACAAGACAACTCTCATGACAGCAGGAATAATGCGTTAACGGCGTTGCCAGAGGATGAGTCAGCCTGAGCTGTGGTTTGGACCGCCGGGTACTGTTGTGACTAGCTTGCTACACACTCTCTCACTTCTTTCCTGAGCCGTCTGTGCATGAGAGCATGACGGAGAGAGGAAACATGTACAGACACACACACAATGGATGCTCTCATCACTCCCATGAACAGCCACACGTCATCACAGCTGGAAGGAATGTGTGTTTCTAAGCTTAAGATGCAATAAATAAATACACTTCCTGCTTTAGCCTGTGCACACGCCGTACCGCTGACAGTAGCCAGATGTCAGAGGCCAGTAATCGAAGACAAACTAAGACAAAAGCTCTTTCTTCCACATAAGCCACCCGGCTGCTCCGACCACACGACTCACGGACACACAACGGGATCCACTGAGTGAGCATGAACTCACAAGAACTTCCAGCTGCAATGAAGTAAATGCTGCTGAAAAGGATAAATGATGCCTCATTACTGTCATCTGATCAAATAGCATCACTGGGCTCAACGGTGCATTTCAGATCTTATCCATCAGGGCGGCTGCTGATCAGTCCTGAATCCATCCTGTGACCTGACCGAGACCCCAGACGGACATCAAACCACCAGCAGTCTGACTGATGTCCAGTCCGTCTCCTGTGCTGCTGAGTTATAGGGACCCTCTGACCTGCACCGCCATCCTGAAGCTTTCATTTCCTGAACAAGCACATTTTATTTTGCCGTCTTATTTCACTCGTGCTCCCCAGAGAATGACCCATTTGCATTTTGCAGTCTGCTTTGCACGCTGTGAGCTTTCTGCAGCCTTCAGGACATGTGCTCCAGAATGTACCCAGAACATCCCAGAACTCCCAGAACCACCACCTGTCTGACTGTGTGATGTGCTGATCCATGTTTGTTTCAGTGTTGTGTGTCCTATACCCAAAGGAGGCTTCATTTCATCTGTTCAGTAAGAGTGTGTACACACACACACACACACACACACACACACACACACACACACACACACACAGCACCAGCAGAACCGAAGTCGTTCTCTCTCAGGCCTTTATCCCGGGTAAGGTGCTGGGTTTCAGCGCTTTCAAATC